GTTTACGTCTTATTTTATAAACGGTTTATAGATTGTAAACTGTACCTACCCAGGTTATTTGCAGTATAACTTGATTATCTTTGACTTTTTTCCCTAAATCACAACAAATTTCATTTTTTTTTTTAGTGAAATTAAAGTTTTACATAGGAATACATTGGAAAAATCTTAAAGAATCGTCTTCTCAAGAAGCTCTGGGCAATGAAAGATAAAACCTTTGCGGAAGCATCCTCGGGTAGTGTAGAATCAAGTTTATTCAAATCATGAGCCCTTAGAGTAGGGCGGGGCCATAATGAAAAATCAAAGCTTTACATAGGGATGTATAGGTAAAATCTTATTCTCACGGACCTCTTGACCAGGAAAGATAAAACCTATGTGGAAACACCCTCAGGCAATGTAGAATTAAGTAGATTCAAGTTTGTTAAAATCATGACCCCCGAGGATAGGGCACAACGGAAAATCAAAGTTTTACTTACGAACATATCTAGGAAAAGTTTTTTTTTACAAAAAATCTTCTTCTAAAGACTATCTGGGTCAGGAAAAATAAAACTTATGTGGAAGCATCCTCAATTAGTGTATAACCAAGTTTGTTCAAATCATGACCCCCTGGGTTGGATAACAGCGTAAATTTAAAGTTTAACATAGAAATATAGATGAAAAATCTTTAAAGATTTTCTTTTGGAGAACAGCAAAGCCATGTTTGGTCATATTTAAATAGAAGTTTCCTCATGTAGTTTAGAATCAAGTTTGTCAAGTTTGTTCTTAACATAACCGGGGTGTGGTTAGGGTAGGTGGGGAGGGTGAAGGTGGGTGGGGAGCAGAGCTTGATCGCAATAAACGATTAAAATGTTTTTGAAGGAATCTATAGGAAAATCCTCTTTTATGGAAAGGCCATAATTTAGTTATGGAAGCATCATTAGGTAGTGTAGATTCACATTTGTGCAAATCATTATTCCAGAGGTAGGGTGAGAGGGAGGGGCCACAATGGGGATGACATTTTTACATAGAAATATATAGGGGGAAAATCTGTAAAGACATTGTTTTTGATATGGAAGTATTCTCAAATACCGGTAGTTAAAAATTCAAGCTATACTTTTCAATACTTAACTGATTTATGCCTTTTTCTAGTCAATATACTCAGGTGAGCGATGTAGCCCATAGACCTCTTTTTTTAGGATTGCCGGACAAATTAAATTCAAGCAATAAACAGTAATTATATATCAGTGATAACCCCAAACCAAGAGACAATAATTGTCACTAGTCCGTAATCACTGTAAATTTTAACACTAATGAAAAATCATTTATTTTATCATTTTTTCATTCTTTAAAATATTTCATCTTTTCGAAATTACTTTTCATTTATACATTTAAAAAAAATAAAGAACTTACCTGCATATCCGTAAAAAAATTGGAATTGTAAATAAGCAAATAAAATTGGTATTTTTACGAGATGAGATAACATTCTCCGAGAAAAACACATGTCTTGCCTGGCTTATGATTATCAACTGCTATGTCGAATACAGGTTTTAACAATTAATAATTTATGCTTTTTTTTTAAAACAATATAGGTGTCATACATTATTTCTGCTAGAGATAAACTACAATAGTGATTATGAGAACCAATCCTTTCTCATTGCAAATTAAAAGAAACATATCTGTTTTGAATTTTATTTGTATTCATGCACCAAATACCTGAACCCTTGCTTAACGAATAACGATGCTGGACAAAATACATAAGGGATATTGTCAAAATGAAAATTAACCATATTTAACATCTTTTCTCGACATGATTAATAGAAATACGTCAAGAAAGATATTTTTAAGAATTAGATTATTTTCTTTGCCACCAATTTTTTCTTAAAATCTTTTCTGATAGACAGTGAATAAAAAGAAATATAATAATATTTTACATGACCTTCATAAACATTGAATTCAAATTAAGAACGTTTTTTAACATTCCGTTCTTTATCTGATGTAATGGAGAAACTGCTCTACATGTATCGATCATGAAAGTTACATAATGAGTCAACATCATGTGTTTCTTTTAAGATATCTGTATCAGACAGTGAAAGAATGAAGAAGATCAAATAGTGAAGCTATGACAACTACGCTGCGCTGTAAAATAAGAAAAGATTGCAGAATATAAGTGCCGGAAAAACAAAGGTTGTATTTACAGTAACTATTTTGGTGTATGTCAAGGTTACGCCACTTTTGTTTTTAGTTCAAAATTGTTAACAACATTCAACTGGAGCATGTAAAGGTGACAACTTTTTTTTAAAAGAATGTATCCAAATTCTTGGCCTACCTACATTCATTCGTAGGTACTTGAGACAATGGTAACCATAGTAATTTACTAATCTTTTCTTCGCCATGTAGAATAGGGAGGAAGAGTAAAAGCAATATTTTCGTGATGAGACATACTGATATTATTTTACTTATTCTTATCTGCAGAAAAGTAGTTTGCTTTTATGTTCTGAAACCTGTAATTTTCTGAAACCTTTGTACATTCAGGAATTGAACAAAATTTACGTATGGGGCGTGCAAAAATTCCACATGTGTTAATTTTCCCCTTTGTGCTTCAGGGTGTCTCGCTAAGTTAATGCGTTTTTCATACTCATTGTTAGGCCATTTTAACAATATAAAAAAATGTAAGATTTCTCTTGAAAAGTCATTATCTCTCAACAGAAATCTCAATGATAATAAGGGAAAAAAGAAGATAAACAGAAAATAATCTTCCTAGGAAACAAAGTTTTTAAATGGTGTCAACATTTATGCTATATATGACAAAATGAAGATGCTGACTGAAAAACATTTTGAAAGTGTAATTTTGAATATGACTAATCTTCTGCTGGTATCCAAACTTTAAAAATGTCCGTCTTAAAAATAACGAAGTGATTCGCCTTTAAAGTTTCACTTTGATAAAACTTTGGTTACGTGGTTTCCATTTCATTTTTGCAAAGTTGCCCGTGTTACCACAAAAATACATGTATTACTTCTTAACGAAATAAATATACAATCCTCAGATACAATACAAATGAAAAATTATTAAATGCAAGTAATAAAATTTTCAATACAAATAAGAAAGGTAACAATACAAATAAGAAATTATACAAATATAAAAAGTATACAATTTAAATATTTAACAATACAATTGGAAACTATAGGATGATATAAAGATGAAAATAAACCACATTTTTTCATTTATCAATTAAGATCCATATGCAGAATTTTTTTACACAGGGGGTTGACGGAAATTTCTAGATATTCTTATTTTTCAAAATCTATACGACTGCCGACTGGGCATTATAATTAGTAAAACGTAAACAACATAGAAAGTGATGTAGTAATTTGATTAAAATGTGATATTTGTGTTTAAATATTTAAATGAATTCTTTAAAATGCATTCAACCAAGAAGTCAGATAATCAGCTGTTTAAGACGCCGTGAAATGTACATGATATTGGATATATTCAAATTAAATCAAGCTGCTTCCACGCCTCCACATTCGCATTTTGTCGGAGTACTTTTGTTTGGTCCAAAATTTGTGATGTTTTGTTTTGTCATCTGTTTCATATTTGGATATTTTACAAGAAAAAAACAGTAAATACAACAAACGCTTTTGAACGAAATAAGAGTGCTGACGACAACCTCAATTTGTTCTGGTTTGTTCAAAGACGGGACAGAATATAGGATGTAGTATTATGAATTTGATGCTACTGTACCAAGAGATATGTTTCTCTTAGCAATTAGTGCTACCGAGAACTGAAATGATTTGTTTTAATTAGCATTAATTAGGAACGACGATAAAATGCAACGAGAGATTTAAATTCAAATTCACACACGATCTAACAGTGACATAAACATTTCCGTCGATCAGTCCTTTATATCCTCAGCTTTGTTTTTATTTTTAAAATTTCAAGTGTAAAATTTCTGTAAACATTCAGATGAAACAGACGAGAAGTAATGATTTGTTTCATTTTTTTTTTACAATAAAAGCTAGATAATCTGATTCAAAGGTTTAGCCATGTGTTAACTTTTTCTTGAATGTGTTCTTGGCCAATCAAAGCACAGGAAATCAAAATTATGATTGAATTAATATATAGCTTTGAACTAATAATATTTTTTAAAAGCAGTATGCAATTTTTAAAGCATATCGCATATCTCATCAAGATATAGGTTTGATTTTTAAAAAAAATCCTTTTATAATTGCTTATTGACGCTTGATGCATGAGTGATGTCATATACGTGTTTTTTTTTAACGAGAACTGATTCTATTTTTAAACTCAGACTGGTAAACAAGTTTTGAGTCGAAGCTACAATGAAACTGAACTTTAATTATAATTATAAAATCAGTATGAGAAAAAGAGGATTGGTGTACATTATTTATATTGTTATTAGTTGTGTACATGATATATAATATCATTTAAATACAAGGAAAACAATTCAAAACATGGTAAATATATGCTTCGTTTTTGTACTCTTTTCCAGTGATGATTTAAGAAATCACAATATGAATGCAAGGAGAATCAATTTTTAATTATTGTTGAAGTCAGAGGTTCCACGTTTTTTCTAGAAGATCGAGACATGCCATTCTCTTTATGATGAGGGTGATTTCTGGGACCATGGAGTTTATTTCACAGGACAAATCACCGACTGTGCTTCGGAAACTGGAACTGCAAGAACGGATAAATAAGATATAAATATTATTGTCAGAAAAAGATTAAGGATGTGCCGCCCCGAATGGTACACAACCTAAGTAAAATTCTTAAGTATTAGATAAAGTCAAAATTTCGTTTTTAGAGGAAAAAATATTAGTTCATAGAGATATGACCTCGTGATTACATAAGTTTGAGATGTAAATTGTATCTGTCCTCTGAAATTTTATATTTTGTAAATGCTTTTTTTCACAAGAATGAATGATAATCTACAAAATATATGTATGAAGTTCCTAAATGTCGACTGAGACAAATTCTTAAATCAAATCAATGAGTGAAGATATCTCACCCATTTCCGTTGTAAGAATTAATTTCATTTCTTCTTCAACCGGACCACATCCTCCACACCATCCTCCACACCGGAAGGACACTTCCGCTCCGTCTGCTGAACGCTGAAAATCCAGTATACCAGTAGCCCAGCCTTCCACTTTACCGAATACTATCTGAAAATAGTTTTGTTCAAATTATTATTATACACCTCTTTTAAAACGGGGATATCAATTGACTTGGGTATTCAACAGTAGGTCTTTTGTCTTTTTGTCTTCCCTCTGTATGTCCGTTATTATTGAAAGAATCATATTCTCAGTTGAATTTTCTTCAAAACTAGAATAGAATTGATGAGATTTTTGTGCAATTTTAATTAAATAGTGCCATTATGCAACTTTACTATGTGTTTCTATCGGACAGATATATCGGTTTCCTATTGCAAAACATGTATGCATTGACAATGTCATTCTTCAACTTTTATTATTCAAAACCCCAATTATATCACTGAATATTTTTTACAATATTTATTTTTCTCATAGCAATCAAAGAAATAAAACAAAATTAAATGTTACATCTACTAATTTTTTTAAAATAAGTGTCATTAATAATTAATACGTCTTTTTTATCAGACAAATATTTGGAGATTTCTTAAAACTGCATAACACTTATGATACCTTCTTAGGATATTATGATAGTGCTTTTAAACGCCTCCTATTCTATATTATAATTGGAAATCTATTTGCCTTCCCTATAGCAAAAGATTTCCCTTTATACACTTACTGTGGGTGGGGTATGATATTGTGAGCTTAGTGCTCACAAACTTATTTTTAAACTTGTTCAGTTTAGAGTTTTATAAAATTTAAGAAAAAAAATTATAAATTACATATGTAAAAGCCATGTATTGAAAACCTTAAGCGTTCACTTCTCTTGCTGAAATTTTCACTTCTGCTGTATCAAATGTAACTGTTAATGATTTATTTTAAAGAATTATAATGACATATTAATCTACTCAATCTACGGATTTTTTTCGTTTTCTAATTTAGACAAGGAACACACGCCTTGTGACTATCTATTGAATGCTTACTCCTCCATGACACATGCTCTTACTTTGATGTCCGAGTTTGCTCCGCTTTCGACTTGCTATTTTTTCAGTTGGCATTTGAGCTGGAATTTTGTTCATTATCTTCATATTTCACAATAAGACTACTACTGATTTTTAAAAATTTTAAGGACATATGATTTTATGTCTTAAAAATAATACTTACAGTAGGATCAAATATCATCCCTGTTCCTCGAGTATTGATTTTTGCTCTGGAGAATCGAAAACAGTTTTTGTTTGATTTTTCTCCAGCACAGTCACTTGTTTGTCCAAAAGAAAGACTGAATTTCCCTGTACGCGCTGCGAACGTATAATCTGTTCCATTCACAGACATATCCTATAAGTAAAAATATACAGAAAGACAAATGTAGCAAGAGAAAAATAACTTTATAGAAGTAGAAAATGCATTTCGACTGTACTGTTTTCTTTCATTAAGTACAATGCTAGAGAGAGAGAGAGAGAGAGAGAGAGAGAGAGAGAGAGAGAGAGAGAGAGAGAGAGAGAGAGAGAGAGAGAGAGAGAGAGAGAGAGAGAGAGATTTGCAAAAATTACAATTATAGAGATGGCATTTCATTATGAACGACAACTCCATTTTTTGAAAAATGGAATTATTTGGTACCCAGTTAAACAGCATGAAATGCCAGTTGAACTTGAAAAAAAAAAGACAAATAAATACTGAAACCCTTTATAGAAATCGTTTAAATATTACACAGGTATTTACTTATTTTTATGATAATATTTTTTAAAGAATTGCTCTTTTTAACTATCTTTTCTTTTAAATTACTGATTTCAAGGGCAGATCGTAGCTAAAAATCGTTATTTTAGAGATGATTTTATCTGTTACACTGTAAAAAAAAAACTAATTAAAGAATGTAAGATTTTATTATCAAATAAGCATATTGAGAAATAAAATCTTGAATTGAATATTTGATATTACAACAATTTTTTTTTTTCATAAATCTATGCTGAGTTGTAACAACAAACATAAATTATGCAAAATTTAATATTGAGTATGTTGGATTAAATGTTGATAAATATAATTAGAATAGTATTAAAACTATTGTGTTAATAATCGATTTTCAAGAGATATTTATTGTCGCGGGAAAATTGAACACTGGGTTGTTGCGAAGTGTATCGAAAATCGTGTACCGATGTAAGCCCTGTTCAAGGGAAAATACTTCAGCAACTTGCTTTTAAAAGTTATTCATGAATATACTTTTGAAGATAACTTTAAATAAAACTGCAATGAAAAGAATAAATAATTTTACAAGTATTAAGAAGGCTTCAAAAGAATTAAGAAATATCGATAAAAAATAATTGAAAATTAAAAATCAGTTTTAGGGAAAAATAACATTTTCTCAGAACTTTTTCTTTCCAATTGCATTGCATTCTTTCTCTCTAACCGAATATTTTACAATATGCCCACGTACGAGGGGTTATCCAAAAGTTCGTGGACTGTCGCCATAAAATTAAAACCGCTTTAGGTACATCAATGAATTTTAAACTATCTGGTTAGCATCATCTTTTCTATCTATAGAATAAACCGCAGATCATAAATTTTATTTTTAAATAAATTAATAATGTTTTTGTAAGGTATAGTATGTCCAAGCGGCGCAACCTCCAATATGGCATTTTTTCGACCGAAGCATAACTAAGAAAAACTCTTTTGATATGAACATTTGACATCCAAAAATCTGATTGATTTTAATAAGGTATATGTTGGGACACTATTGCTTCATAAAATATGAAGGTTTCAATTCATTCTGAAAGTTCTATGAAAATTTATCGTTAATTTGACATGGAGTGTCTAAACAAATAAGTCCTTGAAAATGACGTCAAAAGGGGGAGGGGTTTCACTTTCCAACATTCTATAAAGTTTTGGCCCTGAAAAAAGTGGTATAGACCTAGGAAATGTTTAAACTGTCTATGGAGAAAATTAATGCATCCAGAGTACTTGTTTTTTTTTAATGTAAAAGAGGTTCTGAGAGAAAAGGGATGCACAGTTAATGTCGATTCCTAGTCAAGGTGTGAAAAATCATTCACGTCAAAAAATGACGTTGATCATATGTTGTAGATATTAAACTCCCAAAAGCAAAATATGCTGGCACAATCGAGCGAGGATCTCTCCCAATGTATCAATCCATTTGCAATATTATATGCATTTAAAGCCGCTGTTCCTGACATTGTAAAGTCATAAAAACAAGTCCTTACTCAACTCCAGGGAATCTCATCAAATTAAGTGTATGAAGTAGAAAAAGCGGACATTGAAAAACAATGACGATAGGGAACGTCATGAAACTAAACGGCGACGGCGCCGGGTAACCATATAATGTCTTTTTTATTTTGTCATATTTTAGCAAAAAATGAACGAATCAAGCTCAATTTTTCAACATTTCTTTATTTTTTGTTGCTTTTTGTCCCTTATAAATTTTGAAAGCACAGAATACATAGTGCTAATTTTATAGCCTCAGTCCACGAACTTTTTGATAACCCCTCGTATTTTGTCTCTTCAAATGTTTAATAGATTGTTTTAGTGGGTTCATCATTTAACGATATTAGACAGATACTTTCTCATTTTAAATGTTTATCTGGATTGTACAAAAAACGGAACAGACCTCAAATATGTCTGTGTAACAATTTTACCAACAGACATAAAGTGTAAGAAAATGCGATCATGAGGTCAAATATGCACATCAAAATCGTCGAAAATTCAGTAGCTTCCGAGGGCTTTGCCCCTCGGACCCCATTGAGATCCATAAGTCGACCCCAAACCCTGTCTAAACCCACATAAAAAGTAATCTAGCTACGCCCCTTGTGCCTCTAATGACGCTTAAAATCCAGAGGACAGATTGGGATAACTCATTTCGATTCCAAATTTTTTTTGAAAAAAAATCAAATCTCAGTATGGTTTTTTTCCCAATATTTATGTATAATCATTCGAGATATTCAATTTATAAAATTGTAGTATCCAGGTACATGTTGTCCCCCGTTTTATTTTTCCCCTTTTGGTCTAATCACAGTTGGGCGAATTTAAAGTAGGTCGATTTCAAAGAAGATGGTATAATTTTACATTTAATTGTGCCTGGGCAAATTTAAAATGGACCAAAATTTCAATTGCAAAAGAGCTCATGGGGCAAAAATAACTCTGTATGCAGTGTTACCTCTATGTTAATGGCCACTTTAAAAAAAACTGCTTTCTTTAGCGGAGGCGTAAAGGTAGACGTGCAGCGTTCGTATTTACTTAACCAGTTTGAACTGTCGTGTTGAACAAAGGAATTTTCATTCTTCAGAGTGACATACTCCTTTGAATCTGTTTGCATGTCATGACAATAAATCTTCACTCTCTTTCCATTCGTCACTGTAGGATACAACCAGTATTCACCATCCTTAGTCATCCCAGTGCATCCAGCGATGTCGGAACACGACTGGGGTACTTCATGAATATACAAAAATTAAATCTTACAAACCACAATTTTACGATAAAAAAATAATGATTCATTTAAATATAGCTAGTAGTATTAATATGATGTTGATAAAGATGTTGGTGATGATGATGATGATGATAATTATTATTATTCTGATGATCATCATCCTTATATAATTTGAATCTGACGTGTATAACCCTTCGTGATTTAAATATTGAACATGAAATAAAAATGAGAAACTTAAGGCTTTGCAGAACGTTTCAAACTAAAGTACTTTTGATCACTACGCCACTTTACTTCGGAAACGATTCATTAAATTTATGATGCAAAATTTACATTAAATATCTTGTCCCCTTTTACTTCAAAAATATCCCTGTCATATTTTGGATAGAAAATTAGAAACATTGATTGCAGTCATCATAAAATTGAAACAATTTCAAAATTAATCAGCCATAAATCGTAGTAAATATATAGAAAACAGCAAAGGATAGTGTTAGCATGATCAATAAAAACAAATTAATGGACTTTTTAGCTTGAATGACGTTCGTTATCCCCATTTTTTCATTTACTAATTTGAACAGCATGAAACCTTTAATCTACCATGCTAAATGTGATTGTTTATGGGTTGTGGAGGGAATAGGTTGTGTTTCATAAAGAAGGCACTGGAATATAACGATTAAATTTTAACTTGTTTTAACCAACTTATTAATTGTACAAATAACCAGAGAAACTGTTCATATAAATAGTTAGTTTGATATTTCAATTTATGTACACATACAGTATTTAAGTTGATTTAAGTTGATATGTCAATTTATGTACACATACGTACGGTAGTTAAGCTGGCTGTTGTTATGGGAATTTCTACTTGTACAAACAACGATCCTGAAAGAAATATACTCACGTCTTCTGTTGCTTGCATTGTCCATGATATGATATTCAGTTTCTTTTTCGTCTCCAAGTTGATCCCAGTTGAGATGAAAATTAAAAAGCTGACATGTCCGACTCTTTTTATCGTATAATACAGAAATGCACTGGTTTTCTGTTGTACAAATCAAACAACAGTGCATCCTGCTCTCAGTGGCTCCTGTCCAGAGAGCGAGCGACGGTTCTGTGAGTTCTAGTCGGGTTGAAACCTTTCGAAATTTTATTAAAACTGTAAATAAAAAGTGTTTTACGTCAAAAAAGAGGAAAATGTACAAATACATGTAGTCGTATTTTTGTCACGTATATAAAAAAATTCAGAAAATATAAGCTACTCTTGGGATAGCATATTCAAAGTTTTTATGAACTTTTAAACAATAGTTAGAAACGTCAGATTATTTGCATGCCAATCAAATTTTTCAAATTTGCAAATCAAATTAAATTCTAGCAATAAACAGTAGTATATCAATGATATCCCCAAACCAAGAGACAATAATTGTAAATATTTACACTAATGCAAATTCATTTATTTTATCATCTTTTCGTTGTTAAAATATTTTATCTTTTCGAAATTCATTTCATCTATACATTTCAAAACATAATGAACTTACCTGCATATCCATAAAAATATTGGAATTGTAAATAAACAAATAAAATTGGTATTTTTACAAGATGAGAAAACATCCTCCGAATAATACACATATCTTGCCTGGCTTATAATTATCAACTGTTTGGTCGAATACAAGATTTTAACAATTAATAATTCATATGTTTTTTTTAAACAATTGCAGTGTAGGTGTCATATATTTATGCTAGCCTAGCAGATACAATAGAATAGTAATTATGAGAACCAAGCCTTTCTCATTGCAAATTAAAAAAACATAACATACGTATTTGTTCTAAATTTTATATGTATTAACCAAATACTTGAACCCTTGCTAAAAAAATATAATGATGATGTACAAAATATATAAGGGGTATTTTTTTC